TGACTATACGAATATTCCATTGAGGGGGAAAGTGACTGCTATATTAATTTCTGTAAATAGAGCTGCTAGGATAGAGATCCATCAATAGACGGCTGCATTATACAGTGGTGGACCTACATTTTGGGGGCCCTGAAGCTTGAACTGTTATGGGGACCCCTTTGCAACTAGCAACAAGGTTTGGGTAACCCCTGTTATCTTCTTCAATGGGGCTGTTGTATGACAGATCACCACACTTACAACGTATGTGCTACTGACTCTCAAATTTTAGGGTAGTTGAAATATATACAACAAAAAAATAATAAATTTGAGTCGTGCAACTCAAATTGGGTCAGCTAGACCTCAAAATTTTAAGCAATGTGGACTAAAGTCGCTTCTGGTGGCCCTCTGGAATTAGGGGCCCTGAAACTAAGATTCATTAGTTTTATAGAAGATCTTCCCCTGGCTTTATACACTTCTCCAATTATTCCCTCTTCCCCAGGTGCCTTCCCATTTTTTAGAGTATAAATTATTACACAGATTTCACTCTCTATCAAGGTTTTATTGGAGCAAAGGAGGTAGACACATTCCCCAGCCCTCAAATTTTTTGAAGCCAAAGACTTCTCACAAATCTGTTATGGTGCACAAATATGGGAAACTCTTCAAAAAACAAATCTGGAAATTCTCCAGAATAAACATCTTCCTGCTATGTTTGAGTTCTCCAAGGGAACTGAGTCTTCCATGCTTTGTTTGGAAGGTGGTCTTTGTTCCGTGAAGGCTGGAGTATGTATCCTTGCCCTTTGGTATTGCATAGTCTCCAACTGCCCTGAAAATGCTGGAACTCTAACAAAAACCCTTAAGCCATTATTGTTTCTCATTTTGTCACACAGAGGTCTGAATTCCCAAGGGGTCTTCACTTCAGTACAGCATTTCAACGTGTTGCTGGAAGTTCTGATCTGTGCTTCACTCTAACACATTCTACCCCATTCAATATGGTAGCACTTCCTGTTGTTATGAAAACAAGATCTGGGTCACTTGAATGCCCCTAAGAAAGTCTTCCACCATTCCCCCATACCTCATTCGGTGGGTCCCCTATAAATAAAGCGGTGGGTGAGAGAGTGAAGGGGGCGGGGCCTTTCACAAGACTGCTGTCTGGCTGCGAGGGGCGCTGAGGGGCTGTGGGTACTGACTAGCAGTCATTATGGTTGCTTGGTTCTGGCTTGCTTTGTTCAGCCGCTGCATCTGCAGTAAAAGCTGAAGGATGTCCGACGTTCCATCGTCGAGTGCCGAGGTGGTGACCCTGTGGGAGAAAGTGGCTGTGCTGGAGGCAGAGCTAGGCACCTGCCAGAGCCATCTGAACTGGGAGAAGGATCTAGGAGTCTTGGTTGACCACAATCTTGACATGAGCCAACAGTGTGACGCGGCAGCTAAAAAGCCATGCAATTCTGGGCTGCATCAATAGGAGTATAGCATCTAGATCAAGGGAAGTAATAGTGTCACTGTATTCTGCTCTGGTCAGACCTCACCTGGAGTACAGTGTCCAGTTCTGGGCACCACAGTTCAAGAAGGACACTGACAAACTGGAACGTGTCCAGAGGAGGGCAACCAAAACGGTCAAAGGCCTGGAAACGATGCCTTATGAGGAACGGCTAAGGGAGCTGGGCATGTTTAGCCTGGAGAAGAGGAGGTTAAGGGGTGATATGATAGCCATGTTCAAATATATAAAAGGATGTCATATAGAGGAGGGAGAAAGGTTGTTTTCTGCTGCTCCAGAGAAGCGGACACGGAGCAATGGATCCAAACTACAAGAAAGAAGATTCCACCTAAACATTAGGAAGAACTTCCTGACAGTAAGAGCTGTTCAACAGTGGAATTTGCTGCCAAGGAGTGTGGTGGAGTCTCCTTCTTTGGAGGTCTTTAAGCAGAGGCTTGACAACCAAATGTCAGGAGTGCTCTGATGGTGTTTCCTGCTTGGCAGGGGGTTGGACTCGATGGCCCTTGTGGTCTATTCCAACTCTATGATTCTATTCTATGCCTCAAAGGTCAGGGGGATAAGGCCCATTTTAGTAATTTCTGCTCTCAAGGAGATGCTGAATCTTAACATTAGAGTGGTCCCATCTTGGAATCAAGAAATGCTACAAGTTATTGAGCGAATATGGCCACTCTTTGGACATTCTGAATTTGTTAGGCTTTGAGATGGCATCTCACCACATGAAATCTCACATTTCGAAGTATGGTTTTTGTGCTGATCACACTTCTGCCTGGCTGTCTAAATGTGCCACTTTGTATGCCAAGCTTCCCATTTAGACTCCATGCCAGTGGCGTAGCGTGGGTTGTCAGCACCCGGGGCAAGGCAAGTAATTTGCGCCCCCTAACCCGTGGATTTGCGCCCCCTAACCCGTGGATTTGCCCTAACCCCAGATGTTGCGCCCGGTGCGGCCGGCCCCCCCTGCACCCCCCACGCTACGCCACTGCTCCATGCCCGCACTATGTAACCAGCATCACGAATATCAAATGAAGAAAAGACTTTGCAGCTCTGCTGCTTCAGTCAATCCACTCTGCCATAGTTGAAGGACACTGTTGCTATGAAGAGAGAGTTTGCTCATATGGAGGTAATGTGCCTGAAGACTTACCCAATGACTTGGTGGTTTGCCTTAATCTACATAAATTTAAGAGCAGTCTTGTTTAAAGATTTAAATCTCCAAGTAGAGAGATCAATTGGATACTTAATTAACTTTTTATTAGGGGATGAGTCCCCTATACCTCTAAAAAAAGTGACCTGTTTTGCCTTTAGAGCAGCAATTTTAAGGAGAAACATTTGTGGAGATGATAAGTCCTTCAGGGGAGCAAACTCTTTTCTGAGCAAATGTTTGGTTTAAATAATTATTTTAACTGTGTAATGTATTTTTTTCTATGTTCATTCTGTTTTATGTATTTTTCTTTTTTTATAATGGCTTCAGCTAGACAAAATAAAGTAGTAATAATAATGATGATGATTTTTATATTGTTGCAACTCATCCTGGACCTGCTGTTGAAGGGCAGGTAAAAAATATAATAAGAACATCAGCAAAATGAGGGAAATATATTTAAAAAGCATTTTTGAAGGTATGTCATGTGTAACATTAGATCTGAATAATAGCTGACTTCATTTATTATAACTATCTGTAGTTACAAATTGAAGATTACAGCAATATCAGGCTTACTGCAATATTAGGCTTATTGCACTAATGCAAGTTTGCAAATACTTGGTTGGTTGGATAAACCACATCCTAAAAAGAATAACTTGAAACAACACCATCCTACTTCCTATTTTCCAACAATAAGCACTGTTTTCATTATCGCTTTGTAGAGAGATTATCAGGCTGAGAACAAGCACATCAGGGAGTGTGATGTGCTTAGATGTGAGTTAAGGTATTTGGGGAGAGTAGTTAATCTGATCCAAGGCTCAGCTCTGAAGGACTTGAAGGAATAACCAAGTGCTTCTGAGCACGTGCAGAGGGATTTCCCTTCACTGCTGAATAACCAGAACCTTTTCAAAGAACTGAAGGTACATCTGACCTTATTGGAGTTTGTGGAAGGTTTGAATTTTACACTACTTTTGTGTGTTTACTAGAGTTGGTCCTAACAGTGCTGGATAAGTAATTAATGGTCTGCTTCCAGCAGCAAAACCTTTTGGGCTGACCCTGATTCTCATATTATGGAAAGGTGTTGGGCCAGCTTTGTTAACAGTCAAGCGTTTTGCTGTGGGTTTCAGATTTCAAGAGCAGACTCTCTCACTGAAGTCAGAACTGTGTACTGCACTAGAGATTATGGTGAAAACACCTCTCATCTTGACTCCAGCTCTACACAGCTAGAAGACTGGAAGCTAAGGTTGATGTCTTAACAGACTCCATGATCAGTAATGATGTGCAATGTCACAAATTGTGCTTTCTTATGACTCCATGTACCCACAAATTTCCTTGGTCCATCTGCCTAAATCCAGATGTGGAGGGTGAAATGTCTGTGACCGGTATAGTTACCTGTCAGGGGTTCAGGGACAGAGGCACAGGTGAGGGAGGAGGCAGAGAGCGAGGGGGAAGAATCCCAGGGCAGCGAGGAAGAGGATGACAATTACTTGAGGGATTCCATGAGTCTTTCAAGTGAGTCGGAGGATTCCCAGAAGGGGGCGCCTGTGGTCAGGCCAAGGGGAGTCACAGGGGGGACTCGTCAGGAGCAGGGGACCAGCGGGGGAACCCAGAGTGGGAGCTGGGAGTCGGGACCGGCTTCTCCGCCAGAGCGCAGTGAAGGGGGTGGAGATTCCAGAGTGACAGGGGAAGCAGGTCCGAAAGCAGAGAGGGAGGGGAGATCGGAGCAAGACATCCTCCCGGAAGGGGAGGAGAGTAGTGCAGGGAGTAGTGTGTCAAGAGGAAGGTTAGAGGTTGCGAACGCGCGCCAAGTTCAAATGTGGAGGCGCGCGGAAGTGCAGGGAGCCCGGAGGAGGAGCCAGGTCCCAAAGCACGCAGGAGGGGGGAAGAGCTGTCTGGGGATTCCGCATCAGGGGAATCCAGGAGGGGCGAAACCCCAGGGGGCAGGAAGACCCTGCGGAAAAGGAAAGAAAGGAAGAGGTGGAGCAGCACAAGCCTCTTAAAGTGGTGCAGAGGCGGGACTGACTCAGAGGGGACTTCAGCAGTCTGAGCGTAACAGACGTGGGGCTGCGCGCCTCGGCTGTGGAGCGTACAATACACTTCAATAAACATCTTTGTATATAAACTGGACTTGGCGTTGGTCTCTTGTGAGCTGGGACCTGAGGCAGCCCTGACATTACCCTATGTTTTTTTTATCCTGCATTGACTTCTGACATGTTGATGGTCCTAATGAAAGATTATCTCTATCCAAAAATTTTAAGTCATTGGCTCGCCAGGCATCACTTTTATAAGCTATAGGATTGTGAGGCTTATCATGGCAAGGGTGTTATTTTTGTTTGCCAATTGCCTTAACTAAAGGGTACTGCCGTGTCCCTTTAATATTTTAGGAAATTGAGGCTGAAATTTTCATCCCCCCACCCCAAATGGGTTGCATTTTGCAGACATCTCAGCTATGGCAACAGATCCAGTGATCAAGTCTAATGGAACAGTAGTGTTGATTCCCTCTGATGGTGCTATCCAAGCAGGTCAGGATTTCCCTGGACTTCAACCAGCAGGGACAGTGCAATGCATAGAAAATGTAGGCCAACAGCCTGGAGGGTCCAACAACGAACAGCTTCAAGAAGATTTGTTGAAGAAACTCCATAAAATAGAGATCAAGACTCTGGGGGTAAGTTTCTTTGATATGTTCAGGTCCATGGAATGGTGGTACTTTCCTGCCAAGAGTACTTGTAGGAAGGACTAAATTGATTCACGGGGGTATCTTACCAGGGTACTACCAGACAAAGATTCAACCAGATTATCCTCTGGTCCAATGTGACTTTGTTAGTGATATTTCAATACTTTCGGCCCTCAGTGACTTACTGGCCAACTGACTCACACATACAGAGGAACAGTGAAATTTTCAGGGTAATTCCTGATGAATTGGGTTCTGAAAACTGATAGTCCAAGGCACCCATTATATTCACCATGTGAAAGTTGTATCTGTCGAGTTTTCTAGGCCAAGAGAGAGTTGGAGTTGATAGAAAGAACATCTAGAGGTTTCTCGTATCTCTCTTGTTATCTGTCTTTATGCCTCGTCTTAGCAGGAGTGGGGAGGGAGAAGAGCAGAGCAAATCTTCAATCCCATGGTAGAGTTGCCATATGTCAAAAAGTGAAAATCCAAAGCTTTTTTTGGCAAAGTTGTTGAGCTTTTTGAGGGCCGAATCTGGACGTATGGCAGCCCGGACCCATGGACACTTACTTACTCAGCAGTAGGGATTTCCAGTGGTGGCCCCAGGCTTCAGAAACTTCTTACATGTTGGCATCCAGAAGACCACCACAATCACACCTTTTTGGAAAGCTGTTTTAAGCAGTTTTTGGAGGGGATTTCTTACTTCTTTTTATTATTAATAAAACTTGCTTCAGAGCAAGTGTGGTTAAATTGTGGTTCTTGAGAGGCTGTTGGACCCCAATTCCTACCATACTTGACCATTGACCATGGGGGCTGATGGGCTTTGGGGACCAGCAATATCTGAAGAGCAGCAGAATTTTTATAGAATACTCGGGAGTTTCAAGGATGTTGTTTTGTTCTCTCACAGTTGATGTACTCTTGTTTTAATATGTAAGCCACCTTGGAGGGGAATGTTTGATCTTGTCTGTACCTTTTTCTCACAGGCCATCCAGGTCATGCTGGGACTGATCTACATTAGCTTGGGGACAATTGTAATTGTTCATTTTCGTCGATACTACAAACTTTTCACTTCTATTACAGGCTATCCATTCTGGAGTGGAATATTTGTAAGTATTACGCACCTTTGAGAATGAAGTTTGTTTCAGTGCCCATGGTTCTGTGACTTTAAACCTTGAGGAAGAGATCTACATTAGAATGGCTATTCAGCATTTGGCTTTTTGGGTGCAGATGCCTAACAGCAGGGAAAATAAGCCACTGTCACCCTTTGCTTTATTTCTGCAAAATGGAATTGCCATAGAATTATTATGAAGCGAAAGGAAAGGAAATAATGTGCCATGCCCTGAGTTCTAAAAAAAAATGACAGAAATGCATGTATATGTTATATACAAGTTCTCATCTGTCTTCAGAGGTGATTCAGTTAACGATTTGCCCATAAGGGAAAAGAATGGCCGCTCCCCATATCAAATGGGAGGCACATTTTGTGTGGTCATGTGCAGACCTCCTCCCCCCCATCCCATGCGGCTCCTGGCAGTACAGCCTCGATTCCCAACCACCACCCCCCAGCTGGACACCTGGAGATAGCCACCTACCTCTGCCAGTTAACCAGTCCCAGCTGGGGAGGCCTTGCCAGGAAAGAGTTGGCCAGGTAACGGGAGGGACCGCCCTGCCCATACCCACTATTGTGGGTGGAACTTACCTGGGAGTTTTCAGTTGGCTCCAGAGCTTCTCCCACCCTGCCCTCCCTCAGTTAAGGCTTCTTTTGCAGGTTAACCTCTTCTTCACAGGTACACAGGCACTGCTAAGTTATGGCCGCTGTTGAAGGGCCGGAAAGGAATTTTCCTGCATTGGCAGGTTTTGCCTTCCCCGTATCAAAATGTCACAACTTTGGCGGTTTCAGGCCTTGGGCGGAATCCTTTAGTCTATCTTCCCTAAATGAGGGGGGTCATGAAATGGTGACCCACGCCCCCCCCCTGCGGTGGCGATCCCAGGGTTCCCCATTAAAGGGGTTGTTTTGAGGGGAGGCATAGGCCATACGCCAATAGGTTGTCATTGCTCTCCCCTGCTATGGCGGTGAAATGGAGGGCAGGCTCTCTGCTTGAACAGACGTTCTCCAGAGCCAGCCCAATCCCCACACATTCTGGATAATGCTGATGTTCCCCAGATCCCTGGCCAGGGGAGGGGTAAACACCCAATGCCTAAGCCAAGGTCTCCCTACATCTGAAGCTTTAAGAAAGTTGTGGCCAAATTTTAATCCCATAACATGTTGTCTTGAGTCATTATTCCACTTGGGTGTCGCCCCGGGTTGGGGGTCTCCACCTGTATGCACGATATACTATCACCTGACATCACTCCTATTATGCCATAGTACTATGTAGTTGGAAGTAGATTGTTGTTCCTGGAATTTTAAGTGAACTGCAGCAAAATGCATTTTCTTCTTTTTCTTTTGAATAGTTCATTTTTTCTGGATCACTGTCTGTGGCAGCTGAGAAATACCCAAACAAAGCCTTGGTGAGATGTAGAATGTTTTCTCTTTCTTCTTCCCTTCTTCTCCATCCTTACTCTTGATTCCATGAACCTTTATCCCAAGGGGGTGGGGGGTGGGGTAGGGTATTGGGAATCTGGCAACACGGGACAGATGCTTTATTCCCTGGACACCAGGTTACTTATAAGACAGAAGGGTCTATTGGCTTGGCCTTTGCTGCTCTGCAGTGTGAACTAGATAATGTCCACAGAGGAATAGTACAGCTCACCAGCAAATCAGGTTAGGAATCAAGGGTAGAGGGTGTGCTGAATTTAAGGCAGTTAAGTTTTTTGTTGGTAAACTCATTCTCTCTCTCTCTCTCTCTCTCTCTCTCTCTGGTTATGTCCAGTGTGAGAATGAACATCACAAGTGCTATAATGGCCACGATTGGCATCATTCTATATGCAATGGAGATAGATATAAATAATAAAAGAGATTATAGTGATTCTGAAGGCTTTTTTCTGCAGGTAAGTTAACAAGCAAATACAAGTAGGAAAAACATTGACTTTACAGGCAACATCCAGTAATGAGAGCGTGTGTCAATGGGAAAGACTCATGCACCTACCTTGAGCTTCGCTTCCTGTTTTCAAAGCACAGGTTCCTACAGCAAAGGAGACCAGCCACTGCTTAGTTTGAAAGGCAGCTTGTCTCTGAGGCAGTGGGGAGTACTGTGGAGAAAACAGCAAGTAAAGTTGAAACTGCCTGTGTGGTTCTTTTGACCTTGCATGTCCTTTCTTTGCATTTTGGGTTGTGCCTTTAGAAATGTGGAATTCTGGCAAACTTGTGAGTCTGGAAGAAATTTCTGCACTTTCAGCACATCAGATATTTGTTCTATTTCAGCAAAGAGTCAATGGATTAACCTATAGGTAAAGGTAAAGGTACCCCCTGACTGTTAGGTCCAGTCGCAGACGACTCTGGGGTTGCACGCTCATCCCGCTCTATAGGCTGAGGGAGCCGGCGTTTGTCTGCAGACAGCTTCCGGGTCATGTGGCCAGCATGACTAAGCCGCTTCTGCTGAACCAGAGCAGCGCACGAAACACCCGTTTACCTTCCTGCTGGAGCAGTACCTATTTATCTACTTGCACTTTGACGTGCTTTCAGACTGCTAGGTTGGCAGGAGCAGGGACTGAGCAACGGGAGCTCACCCCATCACGGGGATTCGAACCGCCGACCTTCTGATAGGCAAGCCCTAGGCTCTGTGGTTTAACCCACAGTGCTAGCATTGAGTGCAACTCCAGTTCTCAGAACCATCACATGGTTGAATGCCATTGTTGGGTGCCTTGGTATATTAAAGCCATGTTTTATTGCATTTATTAGTCTATAATACCTTATACTTTTCAGCGTAACCCCAACTGTGTTTGGTGGAGCATAGATCTCCAAACCAACTATTGTAATGGGATTCAAAGGCACCTCTTGAATGGGCCATTGCTCAGGCATTTGTCACCTTTGTGCAAGGGATGTGGGACAGGTTTGGCCAAGGTGTGGCCTTCCAGATGTCCTTGGACTCCAATTCCCATCAGCCCCACTCTGCATGCCCAACAGTAAAGCTGTGAGGGGAGGTGTCATCCAGCAACATCCAGTGGACCAAAGGTTAGCCAACCCAATACAGCTGAAGGATGGCAAAGATGTACGCAATGAAGAGTACAACTGACATCGTTAGTAGGGGGTGAAGGAAAGAATTGTGTACACTGGTGTTCACATGCAATTTCAACAGAGAATGCAATTGTGCTTGTCCTTCAAAGCTATGATGGACTCCTTCCATTTAATCTGGTTCTGAAATAATGGTGTGACATGTGTAGATCGCTACACTGTTCTGCAGGATGCTAGTCATCGGCAGGCCCTTGGGTTTTAAAAGCATTTGGGGCAAATGCCAAGGGAGGGTTGCTATGTGAGGGTACTCTCCCATGGGCTCCTTAGATTGCTCTTGCCTTTAGTGGATCCATAATACAGTCAAACCTCAGTTGTCAAATCTGAGGTTTGACTGTACAGCTGATTTAACAATGTAGTACAATGTAATACGATGTGATGCAGTGTAAAATGAATCAACAAGAATGTGTCATATTCCAGATTAAGAGCCTTCACATGTTTTCAGCTTCATGTGTGTGTTCCAAGTATAGCAGACTATCAAATCTTGTCAGGTGTGCGTTTGCCGCTTTAATCAAACAGATCACAGTGGTCACCACCTCATTGTCCCCAACTGTTCCCAAGCTGCTTTTTCAGAGTAGGTTGTAGGGCAGGACGTAATTCAATGCTACAGCTGGACACATTTGTAGGAGGGACAAGTACATAATGCAATTCATGGTTCTCTGCTGTGTAGTCTGCAGGTACTGCTCTCGCTGTCCTTCTCCTCCTGCTCACCATGCTGGAGTTAGCCATCACTGTTTCCTTAGCACATCTTGGGATGAAGGCAGCCAGCAGCGACATGGTAAGCATTTCAATATCTTTTTTCGAGTTTTAAGAGGAACATTCTTAAAGGTCCAAGGAGAAGATGGTACGGATAATTTATTTATTTGTGGATATGAATAGCCTCCTTCAATCTATAGGGGTATTCCCTCATAGATGCTGGGTCTGGATCCTGAGTCTATTGTAGCCTAGAACAGCTTTCTTCAACACTGGGCCCCCAGATGTTGTTGAATTTTGACTCTCATCATCCATGGCCACAGGCTATTTTGAGGACATTTTGTGTCTTGTTCAAGCAACTCATTTATTCTGCACTTATTTCTCATTTCCCAAGAGTAGACGGCAAGTCTTCTCTCAAGGTTACCCTTCTTGTTCATAGGATTATAGTTTCTCCTCAACCGAAATCAACAATTTTGTACATGGGGAGGTGTGATTCTCTATGAGAAGATGCGTTCATTTCAGTTTTGATTTCTGAATCAGTCCCCATTAGGTGTGGGAGAGAAGTTTGGTTTGGTTCATATTTTAATGTGAACCTTCCTAACTCACACTTCATGAAAGCCCTGGGCTGCAGTGCTATTTTTCTAGAAAAAGAGGTGCCGGAACTCACCATGAACGGCAACCTTGTCCTTTTATAATGACAATGGTGCCCACCTGAGAGGTGCTATTCTTCAAAATTGGTAGATCTCTAAGTGTTATGTAGTTCTCCTACCAAAATAATGTGAATATTAATGGGATGTGCATATGAAAAGGCATATGAAAATTATATATAAACATGCAATGTTCTTATAAGGGTAAATGCACAATAAAATGCTGAGGGCCTTTTTAAAACAAATTGGTACCTTGTTTGGAAATGTGCAGGGACAGCCAACATGGTGCCTCAGATATTTTTGGACTCCGCATCAACCTGACAATTGGTCATGTTTGCTGGGACTGGTGGGAGTTTGATCTCCTGGTCCAGTGTGACCAGAATTGGTTCTCCAGTTTTTTTAGCACTGCTACCTGTAATATTTCTAACTGGATTGAATCTAAGACCTGCTCTAGATTCAAAATATGTGTGGTACCACTGACCCCCTCTTATTAGCTAATAGGAACTATGTTGTAACCTCAGTTAGACCCTAGATGCTGTAAAAATGATGCATAACTTAATTATTAGGACACAAAGCATCACTTAATTATTAGGACACATAGCATCACAATTGCCTTCCAGTCATGCCGTAACATAGTTTAAAAAATTGTTCAGCATAATCAAGCCGGCTCGGGCCCTTAGCAGTAAGAATCCTTTGGATTATTCCAACATGTTTGGTCATTCAGTCATAAAAGAAGGGAGACCAGTAAGAGTTCTAACACACTGGAAGAATTAAGGGGAATTGTTTTAATAAATATTGCCGTGATGAATATTGCAGTGATGAATATTGCAGGAAATGATGCTAGGATGAAAACAAAGATGATAACAATGAATAAATTTCATATGTATTATTTTACTGTTGTTAGCCACTCTGAGCCCGGCTTTGGCTGGGGAGGGAGGGATATAAATAAAAATTTATTTATTTATTTATTTATTTATTTATTTATCTATTATTGTATAGTAAATTAATTTTGTGTGTCTCTCAGGCCACAACTGTATCGCCATCTCCTGTCTTCAAACAAGATGTAAGTCCCACAGAAGGCAATCCTGATCCTCCAGCCAATAACAACAACGCGTAGTCTTCCCTCAAACCCTTGTGAAGAGGCTAAGATAGAGGTTTTCATTGCTATCTCACTAACAACCCAGCAATCTCAAAAATACAACATTACCAATTTCTTAACATTCTTTGTCATCTGCCCATCTAGGCTATGTGCTGTGGCTGCAACTTTGGTATAGGATATTGACAGGGAGAGCAGAACTCCCGAATGGAAGGCACAAACCCCTGAACCCTGACTTGGGTTCTGCTTACATCAGGACAGGCATATCCTTCCCTTCTCTCTTTCCCTTTACTTTTAGTGCACGGCTGTGGCAAATGGCTGCACCTGCCCTTCAGGCTTTCGGATTGTTTGGGATCCTTTTATTCTCCTAATTAAGGTCTGTGTGCTGTATGATTTGCTGCATGCTTAATTTTGTAACCTTGCTATCTGAAATAGCACCCATATACTAATGTCACTTTCATTTCATGTAATAAACCAATCTTCCTTTATTCCTCTGATGTGTGAACACCTTATTGGGCATAAGATCAAGGGCAGAAATACATGTTCATAATGCACACACGTTTTAACTCCAGCAAAAGATTCTAAGCCGCTTGGAAATGTGGTGGACACACATGTGGGTTCAGATGTATACCTCATAAAGGTAAAGGAACCCCTGACTGTTAGGTCCAGTCGCGGACGATTCTGGGGTTGCGGCGCTCATCTTGCTTTATTGGCCGAGGGAGCCGGCGTACAGCTTCCAGGTTATGTGGCCAGCAGGACTAAGCCACTTCTGGTGAACCAGAGCAGCACACGGAAACGCCATTTACCTTCCCGTCGGAGTGGTACCTACTTATCTACTTGCACTTCATGCTTTCAAACTGCTAGGTTGGCAGGAGCAGGGACCGAGCAACGGGAACTCACCCTGTCGCGGGGTTTCGAACCGCTGACCTTCTGATTGGCAAGCCCTAGGCTCAGTGGTTTAACCCACAGTACCACCCGTGTCCCATAGTGACATGTAAAACCTTCTTTTCTGTGTTTAGGGAACAATCCCTTCCAGAACATGTGAAGTGCAAAATAGTAAAAGAGGATATGCTATTGAAGAGAGCAGCTATTACTGTTTAGAGTTGTTTACTAAAAGCTACGATAATTATTTTTAGTCATTCCGTTTCTAATCTGCTTTATATTTTTAAGGGAGGGGGAATCTCAAAGTGGTTTACAACCTGTATTAAAACATCAAATAAAACATTCCAGAACAAAACATGACAGAAAAAGTCAAATATGTGTATACATTTGAAGTAACATAATTAGGTAAAGGTACCCCTGCCCGTACGGGCCAGTCTTGACAGACTCTAGGGTTGTGCGCCCATCTCACTCAAGAGGCCGGGGGCCAGCGCTGTCCGGAGACACTTCCGGGTCACGTGGCCAGCGTGACAAAGCTGCATCTGGAGAGCCAGCGCAGCACACGGAAACGCCGTTTACCTTCCCGCCAGTAAGCGGTCCCTATTTATCTACTTGCACCCAGGGGTGCTTTCGAACTGCTAGGTTGGCAGGCGCTGGGACCGAGCAACGGGAGCGCACCCCGCCGCGGGGATTCGAACCGCCGACCTTTCGATCGGCAAGCCCTAGGCGCTGAGGCTTTAACCCACAGCGCCACCCGTGTCCCCCAACATAATTAACAGGAACCTAAAATGTTGTCATAAAGACTTCAAAGTAAAACATTACAAAGGTCAACTACAGAAGGCACATATAACACCAGAAGAAACATTACTAGATATGATATGCATAGCAGCAGATGTCTAGAAACAGTAAAAGAACTTCCTTATGTTGCAATATTGTACAAAGTATATCTACTGCATAGCTTATCTCTCCCTCATCCCCATCCCTTGATAAACATGAAGGACACCTTGGGTCAAAATCTAAACTCCAAGTCCTACCCTTGGACTGGGGGTTTTCCACAGGAAATTGGTGTGTTTCCTGAATTGTTTGTTTTCACTCTTCAGCTTTCTCCAGCCAGTGAATAATAAAGTGTCTGTGTACTGTCTTCCTGTACTGGGCTGAAAACACGTATAAGCAGCAGGATGTTCTCTTATTTGTGGGTTATCTGTGAAACTGAGAAACAAACACAAATGTTCAAATTAGCAGGCAAGCACATTACACAATCTGCTTTTTTTCAAAGGTATCCTAGGAACTGTTTCTGTTTCTACGAATGAATGAACAATTAACCAATGCAATACAATCACATGGGTTATGTTCTGGGGATGGCTTGTAAAGGCAGAAAGGTCAACCCAGCACAAGCAGCCTTACCTTTTTGGAGCCATGCACCAAACAGGCCTTGTCCCCCACCCCCCACCCCCAAGCTTATCAGGTTCTGTGATGCTCTTTGAGATTTTGTGGGGTCATTCAAGTTCCTGCGAGATCTTGCAAGAGCATCCCAGAGCCTGGTAAGCAAGGCAGAGACTTTAAAAGCTCTTACCGTGCCAGGAAAACCTGTGCAAAATAGCTTTAATTTGTGTGATTGATTTAATTTAATTTGTATGATTTAATTCAACCTGTATGATTAATTTAATTTAATTTTTGTGATTATGCCTTTAATTTGTGTGATTTCAACCAGACAGCCTTCAATTGCATAAAGTTGAAATTACAAATGTTAAATGCACATAAGTTGCGATTTTACTGTACAAGTTATACGAAACAGTCAACTGAGGCATTTTCCATCAGAGAGCAACTCTGAACACAGAACATTGAGTAATAGGCATGTTCAAGTTTTTATCCAAGCACACAAATACTCCAAGCGAAGACAGGGGCGATCCCCCCCCCAAAAAAGCATGTCCTTAAGAAAATTCAGCAGCATTTAGCATGAATTTCTGGGTATTCAGTTTTGCCCAATTTACACAAATTTGCAAAGCACAACTTCCCCAAATACAAGGCATTTGTGCGTGCTTTCACTAATTTGTGGGGGGGGGTTCACACCTTACACCAGTACATGCATTTTGTACACATTACGTGACTGGAGAAGGTAAAGGTACCCCTGCCCGTACGGGCCAGTCTTGACAGACTCTGGGGTTGTGTGCCCATCTCACTCAAGAGGCCGGGGGCCAGCGCTGTCCGCAGACACTTCCGGGTCACGTGGCCAGCGTGACAAAGCTGCATCTGGTGAGTCAGCGCAGCACACGGAACGCCGTTTACCTTCCCGCTGGTAAGCGGTCCCTATTTATCTACTTGCACCCGGGGGTGCTTTCGAACTGCTAGGTTGGCAGGCACTGGGACCGAGCAGCGGGAGCGCACCCCACCGTGGGGATTCGAACCGCCGACCTGACGATCGGCAAGTCCTAGGCGCTGAGGCTTTAACCCACAGCGCCACCCGCGTCCCACGTGACTGGAGAACTGCATTACAAAATTCAGAGATGCACACATTTCAAAGGCTTGCATGTTTCAGATCACATGGTGTTTTGGAAAAGGCAGATTAAGTAGATTTGCCTATACATGCAAAGTGAACCACATTTCTACCTCATCACTTCCAATCATACTTTGCAACAATGATACTATAGCCTAGGCAGCTTCAGCTTTTTCCCAGATTTTGTTTAGGGCAGCAACGGGTTACCTGTCTTTTGGCTATGCTATAAAATAGTCTCAGAAATAAACTATGCTGTCCCCTTGGCAAAGTGTGATGTCTCCTCCTACCTACAAATATATTACCCTCCATTCATTCTGTCTATCTAAAGTAGTTCAATAACCTAGGACATCTGCTGGTTAAGTCTGATGCTGATTACTTCCTGGTGAGATTTCTGGCACACCGAGAGACTGAGAAAGAGTGAATGAAGCAGGGCAACCGTAAGTACATTTAGAGGTATTTAACTTTATTTGGGGCTGGTGCTTAATTGATCCAAGACACATCTTTGTAAAGGATACTGGTGTCCTCTCAAAGAGTCGCAGAGGGCTTTCTCCTTACTTTTGAATAACCGGAACCCATTTTAAGGGCAGGTGGCATGGGAATCCTGAGTCTTTTACATAAGGAAGTGCCATCTGGCATAGGATTCCCTTTCTCTCTAATCTGGAGGCTTACTTGGACTTCCTAGACTGGGAATCAACTTCCTGATGATCGCTATTATCCTGATAATCAGGACACCCTGATTGTTGGGACCGATGGGGGTGAGTTTCTCATCAGTGGCACCTGGACAGTCCACCCAGAATCAACAACCACCTTACCACTGGTGGTAGCCCAAGAGCCCCTTCTCCACCAGGGCCCATTACCAGAGGACCCCTTCTGTCATGGCATCTGGCTGAGATGGCTTTGCAACAGGCATTATGTGTATTTTGTGTGTATTTTATGGAACTGAAGAGAGCGAAGAACTATGAATCACAGGGAGAGTGTGTGTATAAACTTAAGAGTGCTTAGTTTGTTTTTTTAGTTGTTATTTTGTTAATGTTGTTCATATTGCTTACAATATTAGATTAAAAATGCTGCCTTGCTTTGTTAACCATATAATAGTACTTGCGATATTTAGCTTTTATTAGTTGTTGCTTTGTAAACAGTGTTTTATAAATTGTACAGTCATACCTCAGGTTGAAGTCACTTCAGGTTGAGCATTTTCAGGTTACGCTTCTCGGCGACCTGGAAGTAACAGAACGCGTTACTTCCGGGTTTTGCCGCTCTTGCATGCGAAGGCACTCAAAATGACGTCACGCGCATGCGCAGAAGCGGCGAATCGCAACCCACGCACACGCAGATGTGCAGTCGCAGGGTGCATTCACTTCAAGATGCGAACGGGGCTCCGGAATGGATCCTGTTCGCCTCCAGAGGTACCACTGTAATTGTTTCACTGATTATTTGTTAATTATTCTATATGGTTTATGTTGTATTTGTGATGTTGGATTACTTTATGTCATGTTATTTTTATTCATTACTGGAGCCCATGAGCAGCTGGAGGCTGCCATAAGCAACATTATATTACCAATGCTTTATGCATTCCTTGAGGAACGGGGCCAGATCTGGATGCAAGCAGAGAAGGAATGGGTCCCTGCAATGGTGATGTGCAAAAGAACTAAGCCATGTTCCTACAATGCAAAGCCTATGGAAGGAACTACCTACTGAAGGAACCTTAGGCACCTGAGGAGAACTCATGCTTCAGCTGTGCTGCAGCCTGACTACTCTTCACGAGAGCCTTCAGTGGAACATCACCCTGACAATGTCAGCAGGAGGGACCTCTGCCTGAACTAGAGGAAAAGCAAAGGACCACACGGACTCTGAGGACATATGCCAGCAAAGTATCATGACTTCATTATGGGTTGGTGGTAAAGGCTTCACTTCCCATCAGTGAGTTGAGCACTTGTAATATCTGACTTCACAATATTCAGAGCCTGGGCCCATTGACTTGTTGGTTTATGTCTGGGAAATGTTTGGGTTGAGAAAGGGGATGTGGTACATAGCGTGTAAAAGGAGATTAATCTTCGGAGCTTGGGTCTAGTGACACGTTGGTTTATTTCTGGGAATTGTTTGGGTTGAGAAAGGGAATCTTGTACACAGCATGTAAAAGAAGACTGATTGCAACTGTGGCTCCTTCTATGACTCAGTGTGTGGGATTAATGGTGTACGTGTTTCATCTGGCCTCAGATCTTGTCCTGTTTATCATCTGCTTAAGGAAGCAACTATTTGGTAGTTCTCTTGGTGCAGGGGGAACGGGGCGGTGTAACACTGCTTGAGTCAATGTACAAGGGACTCTCTTAAAACTATTACACTCTCCACTGGCTCTACTGAAAGACCAGCAACGACCGGCCCCTCTATAATTTTTTCCATTCCTGCTATTATCGGTAAGACCTCTATGACAAAGAATTGGTGCTTTCTCAGCCCTTTTCTTTTTTGGCTTGTGCCTTTCAGATTGTTGGTCTGAGGGGAGGGATTGTCTTCTCAGAAGCCAAACAGGCCATTTGTGCTATTCCCACATGGTTTTATCAAACGTGTGAGGGGTTCATGGAAACAGATGGACGGGCCATAGCTCAGTGGAACTTCCTCTTTCTATGTGTAGGGGAAAGTTTGTTATATTTGTCCAAATCTGAGAGAAGGTTGTTTGCTATTTTGATTTGTTTTTGTTGGTTGGTTTTTGCAGACATTTCAGCTATGACAACAGATCCAGTGAGAAGACAAAATGGAATAATAGCGTTCATTCTTCCAAATGGAGCCGACATAATTCAGGCAGGCCAGGGGATCCATGCTACCATGGGGCAACAACCAGGAGTGGCACAATATATAGACGAGCAGCTTGGAAGCAACCAACCTGAGCGGAAGCGTTGGGTGAGGGAACTGGAGAAGAAAGTAAAAGTAGAGGCTAAGACTTTAGGGGTAAGTGCAGATGTCATCTGCTCTTGTTTCTGTCCCTGGTGATTTCAGTGGTCACCAGGAGCAATTGTCAGTTCAACACTTCAAATATGCAACAGGCAGAGCTCTCATATCATGAGCCAGTGTGGTGTAGTGGTTAGAGCATTGGACTAAAGCTATGGAGCCCCAGATTGAACCCCCTCACTTGGCCATAGAGTTCAGTCACCATTTCTCAGCCTAAACTACTTGACAGGGTTGCTGTGGGGAGAAGATGGAGGGGCAGGGAGAGTCAGGGAGAGCCTAGAGAGAAGCACTTTTCTGGTGCTGAATGCCCATGTACAGGGAATGAATGAGGGACAGCCTACCCTTAATGATATGTTTTTAGGGAAACTCCAAGGATTTTCCTCCTGAGAGCCCCAGGTATACAATGTACCTGCATACCTACTAGTTTGGAGGCAAAACAAGACAACCCTCAATTAAGGAAGTGCTTTCTGCATTCTCAATTTTGTCTCCAGGAATGAGGAAGGACATTAAGTTTGTAAATTAAAAGAAAGAACAGGTGTGTGTTTTTAAGCACTAAGAAAGTATGGCAAGGTCCTGTGAACTTCTAGGACCCATGGAGCACTGAGGGAAGTGGAGCCAGAGAATGTTGAGATTATCAACTGAAAAAATGGAGGAAATGGCTGGCTTGAGCCAATAGCAGAGTCAGGGAGGGTTAAGATCTCTTGTGCCCACCTTCCGAACTACTGCAGTTGGTGGGCTTTTAAGCAGGTCCTCTGTAGTTGTGCTGTCCCACCTCCAGCCCGAGGAACCTTCAGAAGGGAATTGCTGCCATGGGCATTATGTGCAAGTGCATTTTAATGAGCAGAACAGAGTGAAAGATTATGACTCATGGGCGTGTAGAAAGTGTGTGTATGAACTTAACAGTGCTTAGTTTATTTTTTAGTTGCTAAAAGAAGCTTCAACCCATCTTCAAAGCCAGACTCACACAAAGCTCATTAGAGCAGCCCATTCTGGGGGGTAATCAGGGCATAAGGAACTGAGGGAAGATCTACAGACCTATAAAGGCTTACTGCTGGCACACCAATCTAAGCACTATCTTTTGTAAAGCCAGGTTGTAGAAAGTTATGTGTTGTTTCTCTTTGGTGACTGGGTTGAACTCATTTGTCACTTTTTGTATTTCATCTGTATCAAGATTAGGAATGATCTATCTCTCAATTTTTGTTCTCTCAGTTTCTTATTTTCCAGTCTTAAATTCTGTTCTCGCTATTTCTGAAGCAATTTGTGGGGTTTTTTATCTTAAAAAATCCATGAAAATTGTGAATTGTATGCTCTTTTGACTAATACACATATTTTAACTGATGTACACATTTTTGCAAGTCTCCTCGTGTATAATACATTTGTGTGTGTTGTTTTCACTGATATGTTCATTTTATACACACCCCTTCTTCCAATATATGCATTTTTGTAAACATTATTTGATTGGAGGACTGCATTGCAAAATTCAGAGAAGTGTTTCGATGCCCATGTTGTTTCAGAAAGTGCATTTAAAGCAGTTTCACCTTTAAATATGAACTTAATCAAATTTCTATGTCCCAATCCCTCAGATTGAAAATTGGGTGTTCACATTTCTAGGCTCAAATCTGGTTAAGGAGAGATCCTCTTTTACTTTTTGCAGTGATCAAAATACCTCATCTAGCTTTTGTTCAGGTGATATTTCTGGACTGTGCTAAAGAGTAAGCGCATATCAGATTTATTGGTTTCCTTTAAATATTAACGCACAGTATTGTCAGGATTCATGCCCAAGGCAGCTAGTAATGATAAGAAATAAAAAAACAAAAAACAAAAAACAGTGAAATAAAAATAGTAGCAAAAGCTATCATTCTATATTTCCAGGTCTCTAGGAACAGTTTAAAAATAATATTGTTTGTGTATTTTCTTCCTACAGGCCATCCAGATCATGATTGGATTGATACAAATTGGCTTTGGGGTAGTCTCATTTTTTCTTGTGGACTCATTCTATGCCCCTTTGGCCAATGCGTCATATTTTCCATGCTGGGGTGGAATATTTGTAAGTATCGTGTTCTTTGCCTCGCATTTAAGAATCCAGCATGCTAAACTCTGGGACTTGGCAATTTTCAAAAACATTTCCTCATGTGTTCAAGTAAGGAGGCAGGTGGTGAAAGTTAACATAAAAGAATAGGAGCCCTTTGGATTATTTTGAAATGCCAGAACATTATTAGGGGTAATCTCTTTCCTTTGCTGTAATGCATTTGAGAGGTTTTTCTCTATTTAAGGTGTTTATATGCTACTTAATATTCAACATTTCTGAGAGGTGTACTTAACATTTTTTAAATAAAATCATTGAAAGAATAAGAATTGAATAGTAACAAAAAACTTTTTTTCTTTTTATCCTTGTTCTCTTTCTTGTCTTGTTAAGGCTACATGTTTCCAGTGGATTTTATTATGTTTTTTTTAGTGAAGGTTTTGGTCATGGTCGTATATACTAACAGCAACCTCAATTCTACAAGTCAGTGATGCAGATCTAGAAATGTTTGAATTGGTTCTGGAAAATGTTCTGAGGCAAACTGGGGTAATCTGCATTGGAAAATTTCCAGTTCCGAACAGATGCTTGAGATCTAATTTAGCATGCTGATTTTACAGTTGCTTAATAAACAAAACTGAACACTGTATTCTCTTGCATGTATAAAGAAGGGCCACATCTCAGTGTCAGAGCATCTGCTTTGCTTACAGAAGATGCCAGATTTCAGTCTCAGCATCTCTAAGTATGGCTGGAGATGTCCCCTGCCTGAAATTCTGGAGAACTTCACCCAGGAGATAGTTCTGAACTAAATGAACCAAGGGTCTTACTTAGTATATAGCAGATTCCTATGTTCCTGCTGTGTGTAGGGAAATGGAACCATCCATTCACAAGGTGGAGTTATCAGGCTTACTGAAACCCCAAGTTTTTCAGCCGAGCAGACGAAGCATGCTGAGTAATCGCAGAATGTTGACTGGCTGTTGGGGGGAAACAGGAAACCACATGGAGGATCAACGTGACTGCCTGGGGCTGTGTACACATGGCAGTTTAAAGTGGATTTGATGCATCCCATGCGTGCATGGTTTTGGGTGTCATCCGCACTCCCCCCCAACATTTGTTTCAATTTTTTCCAGTCCATGGACAAAACGGGATACAGGGGGGAAATCCAACAAAAAACCACATTGTGTGGCTGGGTTTTTTGTTTTTTATGTGTGTATTGACAGTTTGCTGGGTGACATCTGTCACCACACCCCCTACACTAATGAGGCATTGTGGCGATCACACAGGGTCCCCGGACGTTTGACGGTCTATTGATCCCTGTGCCACCACTGTGATTGCCTCCTCGCTGCCACCAACCCGTTTCTCTCGGGTACACACGGAGTCCAGACAGTTGTTAACATTAACAAATAATCAAGTTTATTTTTATAAGCATGAACAAGTTTAAGGTTTCAGTTAATTTTTCTTGTCAGTTTCTTAATCTTCGTTTCTTTACTGATCTATACGTTCCTAACAACTTCAAACTGATTATCCCAACTATCTATCTGACTCCACCTAACAGTTCCTCTCACTCTCTCACAACACAACTCGACCAACCCACAGACTTATCCTCCCTCTTCCTTCTCCAACTCCCAACTGACTTCCACACAACTCTAACTCTAACTCCTCCCCTTGGGTTCCCACTGGCCAATCACTTCACACGCATTTAACCCTTTCCTTATGACCCACCTAGGAGGGCAAATGCCTCAGGCATGTGAGGCAAATGCCTCAGGCAGCAGAATCCATGTGGGCAGCAGATCCTGATCTAGAACTTTGCTCCTGATCTAGATCTTCACTTGCTCCTTCTTCCTTGGCAGGGAGGGGAGGCATCGTTTTGTGGTTTGCCTCAGGTGCCAAAATGTTTTGCTGACAAGACTCCCACAGTACCAGGTTTTTCTAAGTAGAGAGTATTTTACTGTAAATTTGAAGTGAATTGATATGCATCTCCCCACCCCCCCTTTTTTAACAGTTCATTGTTTCTGGATCCATCTCTGTGTCAACTACAAAATATAGGAACCGCAGTTTGGTGAGCTATATACCTTTTTCTCTTCTTCTGTAATATTGAATGTGGCCAGTATTGGTTATAAATTTTGTTTTTCTTATACCTCTAGATCAGCCTTCCCCAACTTGGTGCCCTCCATATGTTAGTAGACTATTCTGACCAGTACTGCACCCTTGACCTTTGGCCACGCTAGCTGGGGCTGATAAAAAATTTAATTCCAACATCATCTGGAGAGCATCAGGGCTGGATCCATACTCACTCTTTAAACGTTCCTAGAATGATGTTTTTGATATTCTAAAACAAAGAAGTATTTGGTTCCTCCGCTTCTGTTTCTGCAGTCTACCCCAGTTGGCAAGGCTTACCAGGCATGGGCCAGATCACTCCCACGGAAATCCTCTGTGGGCCGGACAGGTGCAATGTGATGCTGGAAATTGCGTCTGCACATGTCAGCTGCACCGAAAATCGCTTCTGCCCATGCCCAGATGCCGAAAATTGCGCCCTTGCAGATGCGATTTCTGGTGTCTGGACATGCGCAGAAGTGATTTCCAGAGCTGCGGAAGAGAGTCACCTGGTTTAGCGCAGCACGCAGGGACTCACTGAGTGGGTGGCTCGGTTCGGGGGTGGCTCGGGGGGTAGTTAAATGGCCTTCGTGGGCCACTTCAGGCCCATGGGTCTTAGGTTGCCAACCCCTGGCCTACCCACTTACTTGACAGGGTGAACTCAGCAGTGTCACCTGGTGTCACATTTTAATAACACATTGTTGATGTTTTAAAAGAATGTCATATGGCGATATGATTATCATAACCCTTTTAAAACCCATTTTTAGCATTAAGAAACCACAAGTGTAGATGAGGGGAGGGGGGAGGGAGTAGCACTGAAAAATGTAGGGAACAGTAAATTACCCAACGCGTTTCATTGACAACCTTTCTTAGAGACACTGAAACAATAACAAACCATAATTCAAACAAAAATAGAACACAATTAGTACAGATTAAGGGCTAATTGTATATAAGACATCTTCCATGTATTGTAAGTTTTTTAAATGGTCTGATTATGGTTAGTGACTAAGACAGCTTCCTGTCAGGCCCAGTAGCCACACCTGACATGAGCATTGGCTGGCCTCCACACACACACACACACACACACCCACACACCCACACACACACACACCCTGTGTGTACTTTTTGGTATCCTGATCCTTCATATCACTCTTTCAGGTGAAATGCAATGTGGGAATGCATGTCACAAGTGCTACATTGGCAACAATTGGCATAATTCTGTACACAGCACAGTTGTGTATAAATCAACCCTATTTTTTCTATGGCTATCCCGGTCTTTATCCAGAGAGAACATTGGTAAGTGAGCAAGTCCCACAATAACTTTGATCATATAATATCATTATCATAATTTAATGTTGTAAGTTTGTGAGGTTTAGTTTGGATGTCATTTGAAGTGTCTCTTACAGCCCTGTACCTCTTGATTCTAAGACTGAGATTTGGCCAGGAGAGGATTAATAGAACAAGCAGGACTGCTGGATATTATATTCATGGCCCTGGCAAGAGTGGTCAGTGCCCCTGTCTCTCAATCCATTGGCTCTATTGAAAGGAGAAAGCCATTTGGGGATCAGGACTTATTTCCTTCTCTGTTACCGTGTGTGTGTGTGTGTGTGTGTGTGTGTGTGTAAGGAAGCAGTAGCCTGTCATTCTTGGAACTGGGCTATAAAGGCACAGAGGCCTGATCTTCTTTCTGTGAGAATCCAGTGTTATCACTGTAAACCAAACAAAGCAGCGGGACCTTGGCTTGTATATGTGTGTGAAGAGATAAATCCTGTCCACTTCCACTGACCATCATTTCAAAGAAACCAAACCCAAGGTATGCCCAGGGACTAGGGATGGAGAAATCTGTCTGTTTCAGTTTCTCATTTTTCCAGTTCACGACATTTCCTTATCAAAAGAGGACCCACCTCGATATTAAAAGGCCAGAGAGAATCACGTAATTGTCTGGTTAGGTCCTTTCCAGGCTCACACCGGGAATATATTAATAAATGTTGGGATGGAATTAAGAACCGTCCTATGGAAATCAATTGAGAAATCAATATTTTAATCCATGGTTGAGCACCCATCCCATTCCCAGTATTCAAAACTTGATGGTGTTATGAGCTAGTGGTTGGGCTTTCTGATGCCTGTATACTTGCCCTTTGCCACGTCAAACTTTGGTAAGTGTGTATACGATTGTAGCTATAGTCTCATAGCCACACTGGGTCTTTCACATGAAAGTGGAGAGTTTTCTTACAACCTCTTTCCACACCTTCTCCCTACTATAAGGCAAGTAGAAACTGAACAGAGATGTCTCCAGATAGGCAGCCTCCTGGGTTGGTGTTTCAGAGAAAATTTTCAGGTGGCTGCCTCTCATCTTATGCCATCATATGTCACCTCAAAATTATTTCTGAAACACCAACCCGGAAGGATGCCTATCCGGAGACATCCTTGTTCAAAAACAGCTGAGTCCCTTTGTTGGCTGAAAGTTAGAAACTGGGGAGAAGAGAGGAGGTTCTGTTGATGAGAAAAGACACAGAGATGTGTAGCGTAGGATAATCTCCCATTTTTATTCTCATAACGCCAGATACTGCACAGTCTCAATAGTGAACTTACTTCCTGATGTCTTACTATCCAGGCTAGTGCATTCATTTTAGAACATTTCTGTCCTACCCTTTCACAGAGGCATTTTTAAAAATTCATTAATTTTTACATTTATATCCCACCTTTCCTCCAAGAAGCTCTCCTCAGACCCATTTTATCCTCACGACTGATTTACTGATATAAGAGTTGTCACTTCACCTGCTTCTCTGTTCTGCAGCTTTTCAACAAAGTAGGTAACGGGCTTTGTACTGTGCATCTCCTGTTCTGCTTGCTGGAGTTCTGCATCACCGTTCCAACAGCACATTTCGGGTGTCAGGCAACCTGCTGTAACAAGATGGTAAGCATTTGTTTTAGAAAGCTGGCAAGATGAAAATGCTTGGGCTAGACAATATGATGCTGTTGATCTACAAATCTCATGATTCCTGACAACTGGCCATGCTGGCTGGGGTTGGTGGGAACTTCTTCTTCTTCTTCTTTGGCAATCACTCGTAGCTGAGTAAGATTGCCTTCCATAAACACGGTTTTAACAATGAATCCGTAAGTGACTGTGGAGGCCAATTCTGGATCCGCACGTCCTTCCACAGTGGGGACATTGGTTTCCGGGCGGGAGTTGATCATGGTGTGGATTTGCCAAGCGTACCTGATGTTGGAGATTCATTCCCCATGTCTGCAGTCATGGGATTGTTGTCTTTCATATGACGGTGTATGTTTTCATCCCACAGTGTGGGTAGTGACAAAGATAGGATGTTTTGGTATTACTGTGTTCCGTGAAGTGGGACTATTGTCCTTTGTTTTTTCTCTCTTTGCTGTCTGATGAGAAAGAGCCAGGAGCTAAGTCAAAATGCTCTGAGTGTATTATATGTAAATAAAGTAGATTAGCCAAAATGCTGCGCTATTGGTTCTGTTACGCAAACTGCGAATACTCTGTGGATCCCTAAGTGTGCCAATGCCTTTTGGCATAGTTGCTGTGATGTTTGGGCAAAAGAAAGCTTTTGAAGCTCCTGAATGATTGACCAGGAGGGAGAGAACATGCCAGTCGGGCATGTGTCTCTGACAAGGTCCTACACAAGAGTAGGATGCTTCTAACGCCTTCCTCTTAGCACGTTTCTCCCTTGCATCCTGAGTTCAAGTGTCTTCAAAGCCCATGACACCTTTGGTAAAGGCTGTTCTCCAACTGGAGCTCTCGCAGGCCAGTGTTTCCCAGTTGTCAGTGTTTATACTACATTTTTTTAGATTTGCCTTGACACAGTCTTTAAACCTCTTTTATTGACCACCAGCATTACGCTTTCCATTTTTAAGTTCGGACTAGAGTAGTTACTTTGGAAGACTGCAGCCCAACAGCGTCTAGAGGAAACCACACCTGAGCTATGCAAACAAATGAACCTGAATGAAAAATGCTGCTATGCTAGCATCAGGCATTTGTAGCTTCCTCAGAAACTTCAGCTGGTATCTGTGGTGTGATACTAGCTTAAAGGGGGAATGGGAAAGAGGGTAAATATCCACCAGGAGAGGCACTTCCACTTCTACATCTGTGGCTCCTGGTGTTTCATACTTACTGAATCAGACATGGGGAACCTGATCTGGCCAGTACACCAGATCCTTATCTCTCATACTTCTTGTGGGCCAAATCTGACAGGTAGATGGGAGTGCCAACCTGTCAATCACACATTGATGTCAGGTGGTGATCGCCTGGACTTCAAAGCAAGATGTAGAGCTTGCAAAGGGCCCTTCACCATGCTTTGAAGTGCCACTGATAAGCAGGCTTGAAATCATCACCTATCAGCTGGTGGGCAGTGACTTCAAACCTGCTTTCCTTGAGGGTCAGTTACTGTATATGATTGAAGTCATACACACACCATCAGCTGTGGGCTCATCAAGCCTGCTTTCTGCACAGATTGAGGTTTTTTTCCCAATCCCCCCCCCCATTTTCCAAATTATTACAAATCAAACCAAATTAATCTAATTTAATGCAATTTCTTAAAATCAGGTTTCCCACTCCTGTTCCAAACATATGATCATCATCATTTCCTCACATAGCCACATAATTTCTTATTTAGTGTCCAGTTGACATCCTTCACTTGCCGTTAAACCAGTCTTCCAGCCGGTCACTTATTTCACCTTACAAACAGCATCTCTGTTACATCTTATGAATAAATAATCCATTTCACGTGTCCTTCATATGCATTGTTGTTCCAGACCTGAGAGAGTTAATGACTATCTTCCATTGTTCAGTTCCATTGTTCAGTTCTTTGCAGTGTTTATCTGGATCGTACAGGGTCACATTCCATTCCTCCCACTGTTTACCAACTAGCGTATGAGCTGCAGCCATAAATAACGCACAGAGTGCATATCCAAACTCCGCCATCAAAATTCCACTCTGGAGTTCTTCCTTGGCACACAGTTAAAAACAAGATCTCTTCTCAAATTCAGCCTAGTCCAATCAAGGAATAATTTTAAATAAAGTCCATTCAGCCTCTGTTGAGGGGAAAGGGCATAGTAAAACCTTGCTAAATTCCCTGTTGAGCATAAATATAAAGCCTCCCCCCTCTTTTCTGAAGTAACAAACAGAATAACAAAGCAGTGGCTACACACATCCTTTTCATTATGTAGCGGAGGACAGGAAAAAAGGAGACCATATGAAAAACCATAAGAAAGCTTAAGAAAGCACAAAGCACCTTGTCCTCCCGCTTCCTTTTCTGGCTGTTGTAAGGATTCTCAAGCTTCAAATAAAATATTCAGATACCTTCAAAGAGCCACGCCCAGTCCTTTCAGCAGCTCATTGGCATATGTTGGTCCAGGAGCGCCTCTTGATTAATGCCAGTTGTCTGAATTATGGAGAAACCGACCACAAATCATGCTGGAGACAGAGGCTCATCCATGGCAGGGACACACTCCCAGGTCACACCCACTCTGCCTTTCAAGTTGGTAGATATGGGCTTGAACGGCACAGCGGAATGCAGTGAGCTCCCCAGACCCCACTGGAGAATATTGCCAGGATTTTTGCCTCATAAATCCTGGCTTCCCTCTGCCTGAACCTCCTCGCTGCCTGCAGAGGGCAGCGAGGAGCAACCACCATTGTTTGGTGACGTAGCCAGAAAACCTCTGCATGGATTGTTTTTATCTGCTGTATGCTTTTTCCATTTTTATGTACACTGCTTAGAAACACCGGCAATCAATTAAATACATAATAAGAATCATGTGCATTTTTGAGAATGTCTGATGTGGAGGGGGATACCTACAAATGAAGATGTGTGGCATCAGCCATGCAGTTAGAGTTCTGCTTTGTAATAATTTGGGATAATTACTTTAATGAAGATAAAGGTCTTGGCACTGAAGACAGTCACCATGATGATGCCAGTGATGAAAATAAATTCTTGGAATGATCTACCTCCCCTGTGTTTCAGGACATGGACCTTGTGCCCATTGTTATCATTGGAGATGATGTGGCCCCTGCTGAAAACAATCCAGCTCCACCAACCTATTCTGATATAGTGCTTTCTCCAAGTGTTGATGGTTAGTAAAGAGAGACAGGTTATGGGAAGTGCTTCACCAGAAATCAAGCTGAAGTAAAATTCCAGAAATAAAATAATATTGATTCTGCTCAATACCTGCAATTATGTCTATATCTGTCTTCCAAATCTAACAGGGATGGGCCAAGGCTGGATAATTGGGGGGTGGGGGATCCATTTAAACTCAAACCCAGATTCCTCCAGACACCAGCACAATCTCTAATGGCTTCGTTTTGGGTTCCTCTACTGTAGCTTCTTTCTCATTCCCTGACTTCTCATGTTCTATGGATGCTGTTGCCTTTTGTAGTAACTAATTTGGGACTGATTCTACAGTATATTCAAGGCCACCAGGCATCATGGAAAATGTAGTTCCACATCTACCATCCCTAGACTCTGCTGCACTTGCTCAGAAAGAATCTAATGAATACTCTACTACCTACATAACTCCCCACCATGTAGCAGCATCAAGGGTTGCAATGAAAGCTTGAAAGTGTGGTTCCCATGTTCCCTAGTTTCCCTATATGCTACTGTTCATGCACATGACTGCAGCCAGTGATGTGGAATTTTGTGTATGGGCAAAAGTTCAACAATGTGAAATCTCATATGCCATTTTATGGTACAGATTTTCTGCCCCTGTCTTCTGCTTGTGAGAATCGGATAAAAATGACTGAAACCACAGGCTGGGGGGGGCTGAGGCACCCACAAAACTTTCACTGTGGGTGCCTGGCTGGGTGAACCAACGTGTCATGCGCTGCAGTGGGGCACTCCATCAGGCGCCCACAATGTTGGGCAGAACTCAGTGCACCTGACCAAAACACATACATCCTTTGAAATTCTCACTTATATGAAATTTGTGATGCAGTTCTTCAACTAATGAATGCTTACAAAACTGCATATTTTAGGGGAAAGTGCATTTTAATCTGTGCTTTTTCCCTAGAAAAACAGGTTCTGATACTCACAATGAAGTTGTTACAGTAAGTGCCACACTTTTTAACAACAACAAAAAGAGGTAGAGGTATTGGTACTGCGTACACTTGACTACCCCCTGGGGGGGAACATTGATTATAATGGATATATTTGTGAAAATCAAATAAAAATGCATTATATTTGGAGCAATTGCTTGCAAAAATGTAAACACTAGTCAAAACTGCCCCATACAGTAAAATGGGGTTTATTAAAGAAATTCCACTGTTTAGAACCAGGGGGAAATGTTCCTGAGGATTCAGTCTTAATGCGGGACGATGTGGAGAAATGAATTTCAGATTGGGATAAAGAGAAACTGAGGGAACAGAAATTGTCAGATCCTTCTATCCTTCACCATTAGTTTATTTATCTCATCTAAGTCTACAAGTAGAAAGGGGGAAAGTGAGCAGTTAAATGGAAAATAAATACAGTGGTACCTCGGTTTACGAACTTAATCCGTTCCGGAAGTCCATTCTTAAACCGAAACCGTTCTTAAACCAGGGCGTGCTTTCCCTTATGAGGCCTCCCACCACCGGTGCTCTTCCACCATTCGGTTTCTGTTCTTAGACTGAGGTAAAATTCGCAAACCGGGATACTACTTCAGGTTTTGCGGAGTTCGTAAACTGAACCAAACAGGACTGTTCTTAAACCGAGGTACCGCTGTATGGTGAGATGAAAAAAGAATATCTCTGAATAAGCAAAGAATCAGTGCTCAAATAGAGCTGGGATAGAGTAAGATGCCCTCCTCCTTCATTAAGGAGGATCTAATACTATCCCATCTATTTTCAGTAAACATAAAACCACCCTACTTGGTTACACAAAGCATAGTGCCACCAGTATCACAAAAAGCTGCTAAACGTGCTTAGATGCCTGCACCTCCCTGGACAAGTTCTGATGGACACAGACTCTCCTGTATTTGGGGCCTTAATTGCTGGTGGGAGATGAAGCTGTCTCCAATGCTTGCCTCTTTCGCAGCTCCACAACAGGCTATAGGCAAGGCTAGATGCAAATACTGCAGGCTCTTGCCCAGACTGTTCCAGAGCTGTGAGGCAGGCATGTGGGAAGACAGCTTCATCTTCTTCCAAGGACCACAAATCCAGCAAAGTGTTTAATAGGCTCCCCTGTGCATGGCACTTCAGCTGAAGGACTTGAAAGTTGTGTTTCCAAGTGTCTGCCTATCCTATCTCCACTAGGAAGGATAGACTCGTAGGAGCTCGTAGAAGCAAGAACAAGGACAACAAAACCAGTCAAGAGAACCACAACTTCTAAAAGATGTCGAAGAAGCTGGATCTCAGTCGATTATAAACATGGAGCAAACATGAGTACAGTGGTACCTCAGGTTACAGACACTTCAGGTTACAGACGCCTCAGGTTACAGACTCCACTAACCCAGAAATAGTGCCTTGGGTTAAGAAGTTTGCTTCAGGATAAAACAGAAATCACGTGGCGGCGGCGGCGGGAGGCCCCATTAGCTAAAGTGGTACCTCAGGTTAAGAACAGTTTCGGGTTAAGAACGGAGCTCCAGAACGAATTAAGTTCTTAACCTGAGGTACCACTGTATACAGCTGAGGTGAGGAGTGAACATATTGAAGACGAGTGTGATTCCACCGCCTGGCTCCACCCCTGACCACCACACATATTGAAGCAAAAATGGGACTAGGACTTTTCACATCTGTTACTATACATGCGTAAACTCGAAGGGCAAGAAGTTTTCTTTTAAGCGAGGTTGAATTAGACAACACAGCAGCACTCAGTTGCTGGCTTGAGCACAGATTGGGGACGAAAGGGTACTTGACATCGCAAGAGACACACTGAGGCTCTTAGTTTCAAAGACTCACTGCCCTGGGAGGCTGGCGAATCAGAACACCTGGCAGGCACACATCAGGGGCCAAGCCCCCCGAACCACAGTTCAAATACATGTTGCATCCAAAAGTGTCAAAGAAAACTGAACCATCCGTTTCAAGAAATGGTTTGGCGTTGGAGTCTGGGAGCTAAGAGCGGCTGTTTAAACATTTCCTAGCCCAACACATGATTTGTATAATTAGCAAATAATTTGCATATCATGCAAATTAGTCCGCCCAGATTTGGGGAACTAGTATATGGCAAATTTTGTTAAGGTGTACTTGGTTCCCCACCCCCACACTTCAGTCTAAGGGTGCTTCTAGATGGGTGTTTATGTTGAGATCGGTGCCCCTCATGCAAGTTTTTCACAGCACTCACATAACATCATCAGTTAGCCTGTACCGAGCAAGGTAGGAGTCCCATGATTCAGAGGCTGGTGCAAACGGCGGTAGAGGCACAAGTGAAGCCATGATTCCAATGCCGGCGTGAAAGGCGATGGATGGAACACAGTGCTCTAGCCAGAACAGTCAGCTCTGAATTGGTTCTGTTCAGTGATTTCACTCAGTGATTCAGCTCAGTGATTCAGCTCAGTTCAGAGGGTGGCCGCATCTGGCTGTGCTCTGATGTCCATCGATCCCATCCTCGTCGCCAGTGTTAAGTTGTGAGTGAGCATATCAGACGACACAGCGATTCTTCCAAAGCAGCTCTTTATTTGTAAGCTGGAACAGAACTGAACTGAAGAGCTCAGTCAGCCTGCTCAGTCAGAACCTCGTTACTGTAACAACTTTCTAAAACTATCCAATCACTGAACATCACTTTCGATCCTTCATTTCCATACAAACTATCCAATCACTGAACGTCACTTTCGATCCTTCATTTGCATAACTATCTACAGTATCCCCCTGCTAGCCCAGGGTGAGAACTTCAGTACATAACACGAGGTACTGCTGTATGGTAAGATGAAAAAAGAATATCTCTGAATAAGCAAAGAATCAGTACTCAAATTCAGTCTAAGGGTGCTTCTAGATGGGTGTTTATGTTGAGATCGGTGCCCCTCATGCAAGTTTTTCACAGCACTCACATAACATCATCAGTTAGCCTGTATTTTTAACCCATCTAATCCAGATTTACCCTTTGGGGAGGGGAACCCTGTTGCCAACAACACTTTTATGATATTTAAATAACCTGCTTGTGATCTTAAGCCTTCACCTGGCTGAGCCTACTGGAAGTTTCTCGTGTTTTTCCTGTAGGACATTTTCTAGAAAATGTCAGGTGTGGTAACTGTGGTTCCTGCATATATTTTTAAAAGCCATCCTACTTCCACTTTAGTACCACCTGAAGCACTGCTTTCACTTCTTATTATTTCTTGGTGAGATTGTACATATGCTTGGAGGCTGAGAACAAAAACACCAAGAAATGTACTAAATGTACAAGAAATGTACATCAGTACTTTCAGAGGAAGTCAAATTAATTTTCATATTGGGCACAGTTCTGCAAGGTTTGAATAACAGGGTGTTTTGGCCACATTTAGAAGCCTCTACCTTCTATAGAACAGAAGCTGCCTGCTCCTGTCTGAGTGTGTGGAAAATTCAATTCAACATATTAACTAATGGGTGAGGATGATCTCAGTTCCACCTGCCCTACTCTCAATTATTACATGATAAGAAAATAACCAATAAAAATGCACAATAGCATACAGTGGAACCTCTACTCATGACCACAATCCATTCCAGAGGCCCATCTGGAAGTCGAAATGGGTTGCTGGGAGAGGCGCCATTGTGCCCAGGCATGGGTGGCGATTGCCCACTTCTGTGCTTTCCCAAATGGCGGCAAACCCGCCGGTTATTTCCGGGTTTGCCGTGGACGTTGGGCGAAATGGACGCAAGCGGAGGCGGACGTAAGTAGAGGTTTGACTGTACTGTCATAACATAGACAGTAAATAACGTTTGAAATTATATAATTCCAACAAAGGGAAAAGAAAGAAGTAGAACAGATAACAGGCTTCCTGATTATCTACTTTTGCAAGATGTTGCATAAACTATATTGTTACAAGAGATTCCAGAAGTCTTGGCACTTTAGAGCTTGTGTTCCTTTGGGATGAGGCACAGTGGAGATGATAAGAAATATGGTTTATTTTACACATATTTACATCTGAAGCCTTCGAAGGAAGAAGGGCAGAACATTACATTCCTCTATATGTGAAGGACAATTAACGTTTGTAGGTTTTCAAGAAGCTCTGTGATAATAATGGAGAGAAATATTGTTTTATAAATTTGTTAAGATTATCATGGTTAGGGTTAAAAAACAATA